TATACATACAATATTATAGCAACTTATATCTTCAACTGCATTTAACGAGTGTACCTTTCAAAACAGCTGCTCTACAAAATGTCACTGATAACGCGTAACGCAAAAGTAAACGGAAGTATAACCGTACAATAAGTGTCACAAAATCTACCAATTTGCAGTCCCTTCGGGATTTTCTGTTTTATGTCATCCTAACCATCTCTTACTTACGGGTGCGAACAAAAGGAAACGTTAATCACCTTTCCCTTGCAGCCCCTATCTATAAAAGAAATCAAGATTTTTTTCTGGCATACTGACTATAAATAACAACTGTAAATACTTTCCGTATAAAATGGCCGAGCTAATAGAGTGCCTCCTCAGAGTTTTGCCTGCTCTTCGGGCACAATAAAATTCTTAACTGACTTTTAACGAGGGTATTTTCTTAGGTGACGAAATGGCACTTGAATATCTTTGTCAACTAGTATCCAATTACAATCCTAAAACAACGTTGCGCACCACGGAATAACATCTTTTCATTCGGAAAAAGAGCCTTTTCTTGGGCTACCCCTGAACTGTGTAACAGACAAAAAGAAAAGACGTTTCAATTCACTGACTTTATTACAATGCAAGATATACATGGTCAATACATGGCAATACAGCAATACAGGGTAATAAATGGCAATACATAACTATACATTGCCATAAACGCAATACACGTCAATACATGTCAATACATCTAATACATGGTAATACATGGCTATACATGGTAAAACATGGCAATACATGGTAATACATGGTAATATATGGTAATACATGGCTATACATGGCTATACTCGGCAATACATGGTAATACATGGCAATACATGGTGATACATGGCTATACATGGCTATACACGGCAATACATGGTACTACATGACAATACATGGTTATACATGATAATACATTACAATACATGGTAACCCATGGCTATACACGGCAATACATGGCAATACATGAGAATACATGGTAATACATGGCAATACATGGTAATACATGGTAATATATGGTAATACATGGCAATACATAGCAATACATGGCTATACATGGCTATACTCGGCAATACCTGGTAATGCATGGTAATACATGGCAATACATGGTGATACATGGCTATACACGGCAATACATGGTACTACATGACAGTACATGGCGTTACAAAGGTATACATGGCAATACATGGTTATAGATGCTAGTACATTACAATACATGGCTATACGTGGTAACCCATGGCAATACATGGCAATACATGAGAATACATGGCAATACATGGTAATACATGGCAATACATGGCTATACATGGCTATACTCGGCAATACATGGTAATACATGGCTAAACATGGCTATACACGGCAATACATAATAATACATGGTAATACATGCCGATACATGGCTATACATGGCAGTACATGACTATACATTGCAATACATGGTAATACATTGTAATACATGGCTATACATGGTAATACATGGCAATACAAGGTAATTCATGGTCATACATGGTTATACACGGTAATACATGGTCATACCTGGTAGAACATTGCAAAACATTATAATACATTACAATACATGGCCTTACATGGCTATATAGGCAATACATGGCTTTTCATGGTAATACATGGCAAAACATGGCAGTACATGGCTATACATTGCATTACATAGCTGTACATGGGTATACATGATAATACATAGCAATACATGGCTATACATGGCATTAAATGGCAATACACGGCAATGTATGGCAATACATCATAATACATGGCTATACATGAGAATACATGGTAATACATGGCTATACATGACTCTACACGGCAATACATGGCCATACATGGCTATACACGGTAATACATAGTAGTACATGGTAATAGATGAAAATACATGGCAATACATCGTAATACATGGCTATACATGACAATACATCGTAATACATGGCTATACATGACAATACATGGTAATACATAGTGATACATGGCAATACATGGCTGTACATTACTCTATACGGCAATACATGGTAGTACATGGTAATACATGGCAATACATGGGATTACATGGCTATACATTGCTATACATGATAATACATGTCAATACATTGTAGACTGCAAAAAAGTCCGTATTTTTGCGTATTCAAGTACGCGCGAGCAGTCAAACAAAAGGTCTGGAATGAGGCTGAAAAGAGAGAGCGAGACTGGGGAGAGACGCTAAAAATACGGACTGTCCGTTTTGCATACGTTATATTCGTTCGAATTACCCGCTTCTCCCAGCCACGGGCAATTCCCATTAGCTAAATTTCGATGCAAGCTGTCACCAAGCTGTCAAGTAATGTTTTCAACATGTCATTTACGTTGTTCCATAGCGTGATGAATTGCTAAGCTTTCGCTGTAAAATGACAGATGTTGATTGCCTGGATTTGCTTGGAAGAATTGGGATTTTTTTAAAATCGGAGCAGAGGGAAGCTTTGGAGTTGCTACTCAGGGGAAAGGATGTTTTCTGTGTTCTACCAACAGGATTTGACGAAAGCCTTATTTATCGGATGTTTGTTCATGCAAAGAGTTCTTCAAGTTCCGTGCAACGGCCGACCGTCATTGTTATCTCGCCTGGCTAAAAAAGTGGGATCGGTATTAAACACACAACTTTTACCTCATGCAAACATGCCGCTTGTTCCAATGAATTGTTTTCTCTGTGGAGTAGATTATGCTTTCGAGGAAAACGTTTTGACTCAGCAAATGTGAATTTTGGCCGCTTATTAAATGTATTTATGTCCCCTTTCACGAATATGGTAAAATAATACCAACTCCGAGTGCACTTAATGTCAACAGCCAAGCTTAGTTTGCTAGAGTGCATAAAAAATAGCAACAAACAGTTGGGATTAAAATTCTGGCCATTCCAGATGGCCGCTTTTATTTACATAACTAAGAAATCCAAGAAATAAGAAACTAAAAGTAATTTATTTAAGCTCTAGCAAAGGTGAGGGCCACGATAAAAGGCCACAGGACGCTGTTTCAGCGGCCGGCCCCACCCGCAGGCTGTTGACTGATAAATGCAGACTTAGGGTATGATAAACACAGCGCCAGCTTGTGTTTCAGGATATTAACAGCTAAACGCTTGCTTGCGTAAAATTCGTACCTAAACTAGGCGTTCTGATATATTTGAGAAAGGCGTTTGATTTCCAGCGACCTAGTAAACGAATTTGAGAGTCAGAAAAACCTTTAGCGGTAGCCCAACTAGCGGCTCCAATACGGAAACTATGAGCTTTGTAAAGAGCACAGTCAAGGTTGTTAAACTTAAGGGAAGCTTTAAGCTTCGTGACAAAAAATGTCCTAGTGATAGGCGTCCCATCGGGCCAGCAAAACAGGGGACCCGGAGCATAACCTCTAAGTGAAACATATTGCAAAAGCAACTGTACAGGACAGCACAAGGACTCAGGATAAATGTAAACAACAAAATTCCGTCCTGGGTCACTGTGTTTGTAGTTAATAAGAGCAAGCTGAAGGGCTTTGACGTTTCCCTTCTTATCCACTAAGCGATCTAACTGAGTTATTCTAATGAGATTAGTGCTCTCACCGGAAGTTGTTGTTATTTCTCCTATTCGCAGAAATGCAAAAAATGCAATGGCACACATAGCTGAGAGCAAATGTATTTGACATGCTGATGAGACTGTGTGTTGAAACGATCCTAATAGCTTGTTTAGGATTGGTAACGTAATCGGGAAACGAATATCTGTAGTGGGAGCTAACTTCCTATAGCCCTTAAGGAGCTGATTTATAATGGCTACTTTGGTGGGATCA